ACACCGGCTCCTCCCCATTGTTTAAGGAAAAGAAATGAATAAAATATAAGGCAAAATTGTATTTTTCATATGAATAATGTAGACAAGCTGCTGAGGAAGTCCACGTCTCAAGGTTAGAGTCTGTCAGGGCGTGTTTGAGGACACTCTCCATCACTGCCCCAGCTCCAGATGTACTGCTCTGAAACTTCTGTTTGCAGACAATAGGAGAAGTGTCAGCTGTGATTTATTATGTGTCTTTTCTTTTAACAAACATCACAGAATTATGTAAATATAGGCTTTAAAAGAACTGATATCTGGTTAGTATTGTGTATTGTCATTTTTTGCACAATGTTGAGAACAAATCAGACCACAACATGGTCACTCAGGACTCTGCACTGGCTTCCTGTGGCTCAGAGAATAGACTTTAAACAGCTCTGCTTGTGTACAAATCTCTCCATGGCCTCGCACCAAAATATATTAGTGACATGTTAGTCCCATATGAACCAGACTTTGGCTTTATCCGAATGTCCGCACTATACCCTATTCACTCACTCACTACATAGTGCGGGACTATATAGTGAGTGAGTGAGTGGACTCATTCTGATGGCGATTCGGACGTTGCACACTATTATCAGGCCGTGCTGTTGTACGTGAGCGTCCCGCAGTAGCATGGATCATGGAGCGGAGAGAGGAGCGGCCATGATGAGGTAAAGGTAAAAGTTGAATTTACGTTTGAATTAGGACATAACATTTAATTGTATTAACATTGGAGGTGGGAAATACCCCCTTCTATTGTTATATCAGAGGTCTGTTTGGTGATTAAACAGATTTTCTTTAGACTTTTTCTCCAGCCTTGAGCTCCAATGCTAACACGCTAACCACGGGTGTAGAGCTGCGCTGATGCCCAGAATGGAGCGTCATGCCCTGGGAGTCATTTTGAGAGCTCCCTTATGCTAACAGTCTTAACTGTGGAAGTAATTATGAAAACCCAAAAAGGCAGCTTTTGTATCATACTTTCTCTGTTATAACAATTGTTTTAAGAGTAATCATTAGTCTTAAAAATGTGTTATTTCATGTAAATAATGCATGTGTTTAGTGCGATTGATGGATTTGCTATGGCCCTCGTTTGTGCATCACTTTGTTGTGTAATTTGTATTCAGTGCAAACGTGATTATGTGCAGGGGGACATCTGTGAACATGAAGCTGGACACAGAAGATGCGTGGACTTGAACTTACAGACCAGATTTAAGGTCATGAGTACTTACTTTTTGAGCACAAGCTCCTTGCCTCTTGAAATCCAACAGACCTGATCATGTCAGAGTTAATGGCTTAAATGTATTTAAGATTAGAAGTAGTACTTAAATACAAGCTATGAAACATGTTTCTCACGGATTGTGTGGTTGGATAAAAAAAACGCATACATCACTTTTCATTGCACACAAAGAACTAAATCATAATTATTTTATTTTATTTTATTCCAGGTTGTGATGAGTCCACCGTAGAAAAGACAGTCAGAGGCAGACGTCCAGGCACCTGCTGTTACTGCTGCTGCATATGTCTTCAGAAAATGAGAGATGTGTTCTAACTATCCATGACTTGTAATTAATAAAACAAATGAACATATTGGTCGTTGTAGTTTATATCGTAATCCACAGGAGCTGGAGGTGATGGAAATGGATGAAGAAATGATGGCCTCTGGAAGACAGCTGCCTCTGGAAAAGAAATTCACTCAAAAAAAATCATTAATTTAAACAGACCCGGTTGTTCTGGGATTAAAATTAGCCTTTTGTTACAATCAGACATGTCGACATATATGTTCATATACATGTACTGTCCCAGTCAAATTAATTAAAACAAATACACAGTAGTAGAGTAGAATCAGACGCTCTGAGGAGGGGCAGAAGTACAATGCCTTTACAAACACACACATGAATTTAACATGTTATATTAACAGTAAATGTAAATACATTGCCAGTCTTTAACAGGAGGCTGGTAGAGTGGGATTTACAAATATACCCAATTAAAACCATATCTGTCAGTCTGATTCCTCTCTGTAGCATTAATATTGAATCCATGGGTTTGTTTTCTCCCTAAAGAATCGATCCTTCATTCCATCTTGGTTTTTAGATGTCAACATTTAAGAGTAAAGATAGAAAAATTATCGGAGGTCTAGATACATAAAAATGAACAACATAATTAACAACAACCCCTTAGCAAGCTCTGTCTCTAAACAGTCAGCAGGTTTCGTCCTTGCTGCACTGCTAGAATAATATACACATTGAAATTGGGAACATGGTACATAAGTCACAACCCCCATGTACTTGGCTTCCCTGTGTTGAATTTTAGCTTAGCATTAGCGGAGATTAGCTTTGGGGAATCGCCAAAACGTAGAAGCCACCTACGCGGAGCTAGCTAATGATAAGCTAAGGTAAAAACATGTTCAGAAAGTACATACAGTAGTGGTTTGCGTGTTACATAACAACTAATGATGAGAAAACACACTTACCGGTTTGCTGTGGACGCCATGTTCAGATGAACAAGACAGTCTTGTTCTGGCCCTTTATGGAGGATTGGCTGATCGATTGCTTTGTTCTTGATTTACCCGGAATTAAAGCATGACATTTCAAGCAGCGAAAAAAAATGCAACGGATTTTTGGCATGGATGTATTATATTAACTGGATAGGGTATTACTAGCTTGTAGCTGAATAACTCACGTGCTCAGGGGATTCTCGCGGTACTGCAGACTGAACCAGACTAAATTCACGTGGGCTACCCAGAAATTTTCCCCATAGAACTCAATGCATATTAAAACAGCTCAACCTCAGCTGACAGAGAACCTACAGCTTTAATAAAGATCGGATTTTGTGGGAATTTTAGTGTCCCTTGTAATCCTGAACTTTTTTTCTTCTTAAATCCTTCGGTTTTGTTTAAATCCACACTTTAGTGCCACAAACTCTGCTCGTCTGGCTCTCGCTCTAACTCCCGCTCTGATGAACTGCTCTGATTGGTCAGAGCGCGGCCGAGCCCCTCTGTGCACGTGCGTGAGACCCGGTGTGAGACCCACACACGCGTGTTTGGCGCAACGCATTATGGGAGATCATCCACTGCGCAGAACAGGGAGGACCAGACGATGCCCAAATACAGGCGAGTTTCCCATAGATCTTTGCGAGTTTCAGGCAACTTCCGCTAATCTTTCAGCCCCCATGCTGTCACAAAGCGCCACTGAGCACAACCATTCATTTGAATAGGGCGCCATCTTGGATCGCCGGGGCTTGATTTTTGGACACTGAATTTTAAAACATTGAATATTTTGACACTGAATTTTAAAACATTGAATATTTTGACACTGAATTTTAAAACATTGAATTTTTGGACACTGAATTTTTTTCAATATTGAATTTTTGGACACTGAATTTTAAAACATTGAATATTTTGACACTGAATTTTAAAACATTGAATATTTTGACACTGAATTTTAAAACATTGAATTTTTGGACACTGAATTTTAAAACATTGAATTTATTTACACTGAATACTTTTTTGTTTCAGTTTATAGAATTCAAAAGCAAAAAAAAGTGTTGATATTAAAAACACAAAATAAAATATGTATATGTATTCAAGCTAACTTGTAGCTAATGCTAACCTGTAAATAGTGCACGGCCGAGCCTTTAATTGTGGCTTGTATTTTATGTATTTGAGAGATAAAAGAGGAACAATGCATATTATGTTCAAATATATCAGAAAACGGACAATCATAATATTAGTATCAAATGAATAGGTAACCCTACCTACATGATATTATTTTTGACAGCACTGCAAAAAGGAAAAAGGCCCAATGTGAACTGCAATGAGTGTGAAGTAGAGATGGAGCTAATGAACAGATCAGAAAACTGATCATTCATATACATTGGCTTATAACCAAATTGCAGCAAAGATAGCTGTAAGAGACAACATCAATTTATTTGCATGGGAATAGTGTTTCTATATTTTCTTTCTGATGCATAATAGTGGATTAAAAAACAATGAGTTTGAACACGGCCCTGCACCTTTCTCATCTCCCGGTCATATAGAAACTTCAGGACATGGCCAGAGTTCACAGCTAATTCCGACCGCTCACTCAGTTTTTTGTCCCAGAGACGAAATGTGTCCAAAGCAACAAAGAAAAAGTCGGCGATCTCAACACCATACAACTGACTCGTGTGGTTTGTTTGTATCCGCGGGTGAAAATCTCGCACTTCCGCTTTCCAGCCCTATACACAAAAAAAGGTTAAAAAAAGGTTAATTACTGCATTGTATAGTTCCCAAATCCGGTTATTACAATAAACATGTCTTATAAAAATGAAAAATACCCAAAATGGTCATTTTTGTATATTGCCATGTGCCTGAAAGTGCAAAATAGCCTTTTTTGATTTGCCATTTCCCAAAATTTCTTAAGTAGATACAATCAATGTTATATAACTATATATAATTAGGGCCGCATGCATGCATATTTCATTTCAGTCTAGATTATTATGTGTCTGTTTGTTTGACATACACTGCACCAATCAACTAGTCATATTCTAATCCAATTCGAACCAATTTTAACCTGACTCTGAATGAACACAGAATCATATGGAAGCCCGTTTCCGCCATGTAAAAAAAGAAAAATCCTACAGAAACTCATAATTATGAGTTTCAAACTCGAAATTATGAGTTTAAAACTCCAAATTATGAGTTTTAAAGTCGTAATTATGAGTTTAAAACTCGAAATTTCGTGTTTAAAAGAGTTATAAAAGATTATAATGTGGGAAAAGTGTGTTGGGGAAAAAGTGTATCTACTCACAGACCACGTGAGACAACAAGGAAGTGCCTCTCACTGCTCTGTTCACTCAGAAGGAGGAAGTCTGTTCCAATGTTTTAATATTAAGAGTTATAATAATGCTCTTTTCTCCGCATGGATAGCCTGCTTAAACACTCCGTGTGCGTGCGTTGAACTCCTACAGAGATGTCCATGTCCAGGACCAGGAGCAGGACCTGGACCATGTGGTTACTGCTTGCAGTAAACTTGTTTATCTCTGCCCCGCTGGGACACGCATCCCTACCGCTGGTGATAAACACTTGGCCATTCAAGGACGCCACAGATGCAGGTCAGAGATTGTACAGTTGCTTAAAAGTATAAAATAAAGGACATTATATAAGAAGTATTCTCGTGACCAAAACACTATAGTCTCGTCCTAATCTGACGCAAGTGAACTGGTTGGTCCACGTTAAAGACATACCACAAATAGCAATGTAAGAAAGCGTGTAAGTGTCAAGTTGAATCAGAATTGATTGTGGTGTATAGAATGTGCTAATGTTCTGCAATAGTGCTGCATAATAAGATCCATCCATCCATTTTCTACCCTTTAATCCATATCTGGGTCAGGGGAGTCTCATAGCACCAGCCCCTCACTGACCCTCTGCAGGTGGTGGGTCCACAGGAGGGCAGCTGCTCTCTGAGTGTGAGCATAACCTTGATCTATCAGTGGGGGCTTTGGGCAAAGTGGGGTTAAGTGTCTTGCCCAAGGACACAACGACAGCAGTCATCAGTGGGAGTCCTGAGTCTGGTAGTCAATGAGTCAATAATAATGACAATTTCACCATCAAACATAAATGGTAAATCATATTTCTTTATAATTGAGAAAACTTAATTGTTAAAAGAATCATTCGATGAGACCACATGTACCCTGATTAATATAATATTAGTCTCTTTTTGATGTGGGCCTTTTATACATGTATGTCTAAACCAGTGGTTCTCAAACTTTTCACACTAAGTACCCCCTCAGAAAATACTTGCCTCTCCAAGTACCACCACAAATGACCAACACTATGTGAGATTTCATAACACTTTTAAGCAACTTTTGTTAAAGTTAAACTCATCATTCTATCAATGTGCAGAAGCCAGTACTTTTCCCTTGTTTTGTCTATCTGAAGGCCAAGCTACATGGCACTGTGGAAGCTGCTGATTGGAGGACTCCATGCCTCCGCTCTGTATAATACACTTGCATTCTGTGTTCGTGTTGTTCGTGCTGTCTCTACCATCGACAATAAAACATGTCTTCTGTCTGAATTTAAGACGCGATCCCAGACCATGTGATCTTCTTCAACTTTACAGTAGCGTAGTAAGCCTAAGTATTCATCAAAAACAAGGCAGGGGTTTAATTCCTAAAGAAGTATATTTAATATAACATTTTACACAGTTTCAACAATAAGATACAAAATATAGGGGGAAAAAAACTGTACTTAAATAATGATTCAATTAAAATGCTCAATTCATTGCGAACTGCAAAGCCTCACTGTGAGTGATATTCTGGAGTGGGATCTTTGTCCACAGAAGGTTTGGACTCTGGTGCACTTTAGTTTCTAAGGCTTGGTCTGCTGCCCTCTTACATCTGTCGTTTACTCACAGAGACATGTTCATATGGTTTGAATCAAAATATCTTTTGTTGCTCTCTGTTCCTTTTGCACAGAACTGGGGAAAAAAAGCTTTTGTATTTGCTGCTCCTTCTACATGGAACGTGTTACAAAAAGACTGGAAATTATCTGAACTTATTTCCTTGAATGCTTTTAGATCCAAATTGAGAGACTGAGACATCCTCATTGAAATGTAACTGTTTTTATAATCCGTTATTTTATGAAATTGTGTGTGACTGTTTCATAATCTGTAATTGAATGTAATTTTTGAACACCACTGAAAAAGAGGTTCTCATTGACTGCCAGCCATTCTTGATGACTTCACTGATTTTCAAGACTCACAGAATATTGATTGCTACAGTATGAGTATGAATAATATGAAACCAGAGTGTGAAAGACAGGACTGTCTACTTTCAGCAGCAAAAATAGGTTTGTTTTTAGCTTGTTTCGTTCTCCTGTGATCTCCAGTTGAAAAGAGGGGAGTGTGACAAAAAGCACCAGTCTTAGACAAAAAGCTGAGAAAATGAAAACGGACGAACCTGCAGAAAAGTGACTGTAACACTATTTAATATAACCTTAGCATCTCTTCAAACATGTCCAGGATCATACATGTTAGAAAACAGCAACAAGTTCTGAGAAAGTGTTTTTGATGAAAAATAATACTTTTTATGGCACACACACCCACATCCACAAAGTGTTGCTCGAATATTTCAAAATGTACTCATCCAAAAAATGTCAAAATGTTGATGTTGAAAGTAGAGCCCATGACAAACTATGGCAGATAGAATGGCCAGTATTCATCCATTAGGTGGCGCTATATTTATGTCGTCAAGAGTAAATCAGAGATAAGCAAAATAACAATGATAAACACTATAAATGACAATAAATCAAAGTGAACACACAATATACTGTACATAAGTGCAATAGATTACTGTGTGTCTTTGTGTGTTTGGGCGCGTATGTACAATATGTGTGTTTATGCGCACGTTTGTGTGTGTTTGTGTAGTTACATCTACAGAGTGTCGTTCTGTTTAGTCCAGCGAGCGCTGTGACCATAGTTGGACTTTACCGCTGGCTCCTGGTGTGGACTCGGTGATAGTTTTAGCAATAGTCCAATTTTCTGTGGCTTTTTTGGGGTGCACCACTGGTCTGCTGTCCTGACCCTCCACATGGTCTGCTGCTCTGACCCTTCACATGGTCTGCTGCCCTGACCCTCCACATGGTCTGCTGCTCTGACCCTTCACATGGTCTGCTGCCCTGACCCTCCACATGGTCTGCTGCTCTGACCCTTCACATGGTCTGCTGCTCTGACCCTTCACATGGTCTGCTGTCCTGACCCTCCACATGGTCTGCTGCTCTGACCCTTCACATGGTCTGCTGCCCTGACCCTCCACATGGTCTGCTGCTCTGACCCTCCACATGGTCTGCTGCTCTGACCCTTCACATGGTCTGCTGCCCTGACCCTCCACATGGTCTGCTGTCCTGACCCTCCACATGGTCTGCTGCTCTGACCCTTCACATGGTCTGCTGCCCTGACCCTCCACATGGTCTGCTGCCCTGACCTTCCACATGGTCTGCTGCTCTGACCCTCACATGGTCTGCTGCTCTGACCCTCCACATGGTCTGCTGCCCTGACCCTCCACATGGTGTGCTGCTCTGACCCTCACATGGTCTGCTGCCCTGACCCTCCACATGGTCTCTGTCAGTTCTGGAGACACATTTACTGCTCAAACGGCCTCCAAATGTAGCCTGACCCTGACTATATTACTCCATGTCTGCTTCACCTCTGTCTCTCCTGCTCAGAGTGCTCAGGTAGTGATCTTTGACCAAGCCAGGGAGGCAAGGCAAGGCAAGTTTATTTATATAGCACAATTCATACACAAGGCAATTCAAAGTGCTGAACAAAACAAGAAAGCATTAAAATCATAAATAATCACAGAACATTAAAAAGAAAGATAAAAATATAAAATCCCTCAGTTGTATGCACAGCTAAACAGAACTGTCTTTAACCTGGTTTTAAACATTGTCATTGAGGAGGCCTGTCTCACATCTTCAGGAAGACTGTTCCACCTGCTGGCTTAATAAAATACTGTCTACAGCCAAATCCCAGACTGTATGATACAGGGGACACAGACTGACAGGAAAAGATTGAGTTGAAAAACAATGTTGATGTCAATTGACGTCAATGGCTGTCAATGAGTTAATCTCAATGAGACTTTCTTGGTTAAATCAAAAAAAAAAAAAATAATCACTTTTTTTACAGTGATTCTTTGGCTGTTTGGCGTACCCCTAGAGGGCGCACCCCTGGAGGAAACCCTGAAGCTGATACGCTCAAGAAATATGTTCCAACATTAGCCAAACAAATTAAGAACATAATTCCTTGTTTTTGCTGCTGGATTTGGTGCATATCTGGCAACCTGAGTCAGTGAGAGGGAACCTGAATCATGGAGATTTTTACATTCTGCTCTCTTAAGTCCCAGCCTGAAATTATTTTTTCTTCAGACACAAACTAAAACTATAGTTAAATAACATTGTATTAGAGGGTTTAGATAAGATGACATAAATAATAAAGCTTTGGAAGAACATATTTTTTTGCCTCCAATCCATGTTTTTTGTGTGGCCTCTAACTAAAATGAGAATAACATTCCTTGACAGGAGTGTTAAGGAGTGTTATTCTCCTCCTCGTGACCTGTAAAGAGCGGGATAAAGAAGGCTGGGAATAAGTGGTTTGGTTGTAGTTTTCTGTGCTGGTGGAACGTGCTGCTGCGGTCTGTGCTCTGGTGCTTTGTGAGCAGTTGGCGTCCTGATCCAATGCAGCTTTTAGGATCAGTGACCAAATGTTCTGCATCCCTGTGTTTGTGGAGTCTGTGTCTGAGCGGTCAGATTATATAAGTCTGCCTATATTACAATAATCCTGGGATCGGAAGTGCTGGAGACGGCAACGGAAAGTTTGGGGACACTAGAACAATAATTGAAATGTAAAGGATTTGCTTTCTGTGGTTTATTCCAAATGAACAGTCCACGTCCTTACGCTGAATCTAAACAAAGTGGAGAATGCCACGGCTTTTGTTTATTGGAATTAGACACTTAACAGCACAAACAGCTGTGGAGTCTGCAGTTTTTTTTTTCCAATGAAGAATGCATAATATGATTGTATTGTAAAAAATGAAATTCTATATTTTCCTGGGTAAATAAAGATAAAACCCAAAGAGTTTATCAGACAAACTAGAAGTATGATATCCTCTTTTATAACCGCCAATCATGTTCATGCCAAAATATGAGTTTGTTTTTAACTGAATCATCTGTATTGTATTATTATGTGTATGTGTTGTGTTGGGTTATGTGTGCAGCGTGGAACATTCTGCAGTCCGGTGGCTCAGTTCTGGACGCAGTAGAAAGGGGCTGCTCTCGCTGTGAGGAGTTGCAGTGTGATGGCAGTGTGGGTTACGGGGGCAGTCCTGATGAGAGAGGAGAGACCACACTGGACGCCATGATCATCAACGGGTATGAGACACTTTATCAGGGCCTGGGATCTGGCAACATATTGCGACATATAATACCACGAATTGTGGTTCTAAATATGTAGGCTTTTCTGTGTGGAGTTTGCAGGTCTACATAAGTATCCTCAGGGTACTCCCGTTTCCCCTGCAACTAAGGCCCCGTTTAGACTGAGACGCTGCAAAACCGCTGCAAAGCAATTAGCAAAAACAACCAGGCTTCTTATTCAAAAAGCCTGTTCTAGCGTCCGGCCAGTAGGGGGCAGTGGAACGTTATAGTACGATGCGCCTGACCCCCAGCAGTAGAAACCAGTGGGGGAGGGTCCCAGCTCAAAAGTGGCCAAAATGACGTGCGCTGACATGCTTGCAATACCACCCCGGGCCGATGGGGGTGGACCCAGAAGTAGAATTAGCCAATGCTAACATATAGGATGGACCAAAAGTTGGCTCTTGGCCCAAAGCTCCGTTCCACATGTGTGTCAATGCTGAGGGGGGTGGATTTTTTTGGTCCACTCTAGTTTACTTGCTGTGAATTTTTTAAGTCTCTCGTTCAAATGAATGGAGTTGCGCCGGCTGACGCATGCGCAGATGCGTTTTTTCACAATTTTCTTGTGGACGGGACCACTCGCAGCCATTTTGGATTGCTCCAGTAGAGCACATTTTTTGGCCCATTAGTTAGAACGGCGGAAATAGGCGTGACTCTGTCCATTAATATATACAGTCTATGGTAGAAACATTTCCTCAACAACATCCTCCTCAGGCCACCGCAAAAACATGAAGTAATGCACCAACATCATTCTGCATTTATCAGTAGCTGCAAAAATGGAAACTGAAAAACTAGAGGTTTGCGTGGTTTTGTTTGGACGGACGAAGGCGTAGAATTCACCTCCTTACAATACAATACAATACAATTTATTCTTGTATAGCCCTAAATCACAACAGAAGTCATCTCAGAGGACTTAACAAAACCATTGAAATTACTAACACAGATCAGAGAATCAACAGTTAGAACACAGAAAGAATATAGAACACATGGTAAAAAAAAAGACCATACATGTTGTAAAATGTTGAAGTGTCCAGCGCACACAGCATTGGTTTACCTGCTGCCATTGTTGTTGATGGTTGTTCTCAGCTACTTTGCATATGTTCCAGTGAATATGTCAATATGTGAAGTGGTGAGTTCATAGCAGGCTGAGAATTCACACCTTTTTTTTCTCGTGGCTGTGATACGCCGGCCATGCAGTGTATCTGTTCTGTTCCACTCTGGAGGCTGTTTCTCAACGCTTGCGTTACCCCCAGAAACACTGTCTCAATGTTAACATGAGGCTAAACCGATACCCTACATTTTAATGTTTTAGCGTCGCCTGTCTAAACTTGGCCAAAAAGCTTGTACAATAGGTCTGAATGTGATGAGTGAGTGAACGGATGGTGATAGTTAGAGCCTTCAAGACCCCAGTGTGTTCGGTGTCTTGCTTCTGTAATCACCGTGAATGGAGAGAAGGGAAATTACTGGTACAACAAAAATGTTAAAGATTTTTGTGTGACCTTGGCCTTTGAAATGCGCTGTACAAGTATTGCCTTGTTTCTGACAAGGCAATGCACATCCCCTAAGATATAATGGATTGCAAAAGTGCAAATATACTTGAATGGTGGCACATTTAGTCAGGTTACAGCTACACACATAATGAAACTTTTATTTTTGTTAAGAATAACAACATCATTAATTAATTTTCTTTCACTTCACAGTGGTCTGTTTTTTTATTGTATTTATTTATTTATTCAAAATGTATTAAGGACTCATGAAAATACAGGATCCATAGCTAATAAGATTGGTCCTCATTCGCCAATATCTTCTTGAGAATCTTCTTAAGTTTCTTCTCAAGTTGTTCTTAAGAAGATTTCAAAGAAGACCCTACGTGGGATTCATCAACGCGCTCGTAAGCTGCTGAATTGTTTGCAGCTGTTCTCTTAGATAGATGAATGCCATCTTAAGTTGAGCGCTTAGGCTTAGCATAGGTAACCGCCAATTAATGCCCATAAAAGGGACTGGAGGGCAGACGCCAGAGGAAACGGCAACATGCCTATAGAAAAGAGTATGGAGGACCAAAGTGATATATGAATAAATAAATATATTAATACATTTTCAATTATTTGTCATGTTTATTTGAAAATAGATTTGATTTGCAAACAAATGCATGCGTGTTTATTTATCAATATATATCAACTCATATAACAGTTATTTATATATCTGTTTTACATATGTCCATCCATCCATCCATCCATCCATTTTCTACCCTTTTAATCCATTTCTGGGTCAGGGAAGTCTCATAGCACCAGCCCCTCACTGACCCTCTGCAGGTCCACAGGAGGACGGCTGCTCTCTGAGTGTGAGCATAGCCTTGATCTTTCAGTGGGGGCTTTGGGCAAAGTGGGGTTAAGTGTCTTGCCCAAGGACACAACGACAGCAGTCATCAGTGGGAGTCGGTGGAGAAGGTGTAGAGGTGGGAATTGAACCCACGACCTTCAGGCCTGAGGAAAGGAAGGTTTCTCACCCATCATCTGTACTTCTTATCAAGTTTTCCCGACGTTTCGTCCTCAAACCAGCGGACTTCCCTGAAGAAGTCCGCTGGTCAATAACAAGTATAACATCTCAATTTCAAAAATAATAATAAAAATAAGTGTAAAAGTTTTACATTTGGCAAAATAAGAGGAAAGAATAAAGTACTGTGTATTCTAGTGCAAGCAATGTGTAGTTATATGTTAGCATCTGTACATTAGCAGCAGTATGTTTAAACTAATATTAGCAGCATGAGGCTCTGGGACACAATGACTAAGGAAAGTGACAGTGACATGTGGTTATTGCACATTCTGGTATAAGTTAGGGGTATTGCAACGATGCATGACACGTGGGATCAAGTTGGCAGTGTTGATTAGTCCTCGTTGTTTGTTGTACAGTCTGACAGCAGCAAGAAGTAAAGATCTGCAGAACCTCTCCTTCACATATCAAGGATGAATTAGTCTGTCACTGAAGCTGCCCTCAGCAGACAGTGTCCTGCAGGGGGTGACAATCATGGTCCAGCATAAATATTAGTTTAAACTTTGTCCAGAACCCTCCTGTCCCCCACCTGCTGCACTGTGTCCTGGAAACAGACTAAGACAGAGATGGACTTCCTGATGACCTTGTCCAGCTTCCTCCTGTCCCTCTCTGTGATGCTGCTGCTCCAGCAGACCACACCGTACAAGATGGCTGATGCCACCACAGAGTCATAGAAGGTCTTTAGGAGTGGCCCCTGCACTCCAAAAGACCTGAGCCTCCTCAGCAGGTAGAGCCGGCTCTGGCCCTTCTTGAAGAGGACGTTTGTGATATGAGTCCAGTCCAGTTTGTGGTTCAGATGAACACCCATGTACTTGTATAAGTCCACTCTCTCAATGTCCCTTCCCTAGATGTTCAATGGAGCTGGCGCGGTAAAGTGACGTCTGCGGAAATCCACCACCATCTCCTTGGTCTTTTCCGCGTTGATGAGGAGGTGGTTCCGCTGATACCAGTCCACAAAGTCCTTAATTACTTAATTGGCAGAGTCGTCAGAGAACTTCTGTAGGACACAACCATCCGTGTTGTGTCTGAACTCCGCAGTGTAAAGGGTAAAGAGGAACGGTGCGAAAACTGTCCCCTGGGGGGGGCCCCACACCGCAGGTCAGGACCTCTGACACAGGGTGCAGGGTAGGAGGCGGGGGGCACAGTAATGTGCGCGGGGAAGACGGCGGTATCCTACAAGCAATACAATTTTGAATGAATGAATCAGCACGCAGGACTTACAAAGGGCGCATACGGTGATAGTGTGGTTCAAATCACGCAGCCTCACGCCTTTTGCAAATGAACCGGGTAGTTTGGTACGAGACGCTGCCCAAACACACCTGCTCTGTCCCAGGACAATTCACTTGAAGTCAGGACGAGGAATATGTACAGTCTATGGAAAGACGCGCCTCTCTTAAAGAGTCTGATAACGCTGTTATTGGCTAACTACAACATGAATATATAACCTAAACTCACAGAAAGTAATTGAATAAACACAAATAAAAGAATTCCTAACACAACATACATGACAAGAAAAATAATATTATAATTCATTCTAAGATATAGATATGAAACTAGTATTTTAAAAGTATGATTTCACGTAAAGGCCCTGCCTGAATTCATTGTGTCATTCCCATATCAAGCTAAACTTCAGCTAAAGTTTGATTCCACAATCATGTTTTAGGCCTTCATCACTCGGCTCCTGCTCACTCTAACGAGGCCTCTTCAGCAATATTCGCATCTACAGTGCCTTGCGAAAGTATCAACAACAAGTTGGACACAATTGTGAAGTGGAACGAAATTTATTGGATAATTTAAACTTTTTTAACAAATAAAAAACTGAAAAGTGGGGCGTGCAATATTATTCGGCTCCTTTACTTTCAGTGCAGCAAACTCACTCCAGAAGTTCAGTGAGGATCTTTGAATGATCCAATGTTGTCCTAAATGACTGATGATGATAAATAGAATGCACCTGTGTGTAATCATGTCTCCGTATAAATGCACCTGCTCTTTGATAGTCTCAGGGTTCTGTTTAAAGCGCAGAGAGAACCATGAAGACAAAGGAACACACCAGGCAGGTCCGAGATACTGTTGTGGAGAAGTTTAAAGCCGGATTTGGATACAAAAAGATTTCCCAAGCTTCAAACATCTCAAGGAGCACTGTGCAAGCAATTATATTGAAATGGAAGGAGTATCAGACCACTGCAAATCTACCAAGACCCGGCCGTCCCTCCAAACTTTCATCTCAAACAAGGAGAAGACTGATCAGAGATGCAGCCAAGAGGCCCATGATCACTCTGGATGAACTGCAGATAACTACAGCTGAGGTGGGAGCGTCTGTCCATAGGACAACAATCAGTCGTGCACTGCACAAATCTGGCCTTTATGGAAGAGTGGCAAGAAGAAAGACATTTCTCAAAGATATCCATAAAAAGTCGTTTAAAGTTTGCCATAAGCCACTTGGGAGACACACCAAACATGTGGAAGAAGGTGCTCTGGTCAGATGAAACCAAAATCGAACTTTATGGCCACAATGCAAAACGATATGTTTGGCGTAAAAGCAACACAGCTCATCACCCTGAAAACACCATCCCCACTGTCAAACATGGTGGTGGCAGCATCATGGTTTGGGCCTGCTTTTCTTCAGTAGGGACAGGGAGGATGGCTAAAATTGATGGGAAGATGGATGGAGCCAAATACAAGACCATTCTGGAAGAAAACCTGTTGGAGTCTGCAAAAGACCTGAGACTGGGGCGGAGATTTATCTTCCAACAGGACAATGATCCAAAACATAAAGCCAAATCTACAATGGAATGGTTCACAAATAGACGTATCCAGGTGTTAGAATGGCCAAGTCAAAGTCCAGACCTGAATCCAATCGAGAATCTGTGGACAGAGCTGAAGACTGCTGTTCACAAACGCTCTCCATCCAACCTCACTGAGCTCGAGCTGTTTTGCAAGGAAGAATGGGAAAGAATTCCAGTCTCTCGATGTGCAAAACTGATAGACATATACCCCAAGCGACTTGCAGCTGTAATTTCAGCAAAATGTGGCGCTACAAAGTATTAGCGCAAGGGGGCCGAATAATATTGCACGCCCCACTTTTCAGTTTTTTATTTGTTAAAAAAGTTTAAATTATCCAATAAATTTCGTTCCACTTCACGATTGTGTCCCACTTGTTGATTCTTGACAAAAAATTTAATTTGTATATCTTTATGTTTGAAGCCTGAAATGTGGCGAAATGTTGAAAGGTTCAAGGGTGCCGAATACTTTCGCAAGGCACTGTATATGTCATTCACTTTTACAGATAGCTACTTAAGACATCTGATGTCACGGAGAAGCCACAGGCGTCTGAAGAGGAGGAGCTGTACAGGAGGAGCTGTACAAGAGGAGCTGAACAGTAGGAGCTGAACAGGAGGAGCTGTACAGGAGGAGCTCTGAGAATACGTTTAGTCTGTAGAGAAGAATACTATTAGTGTCGTTTAGTTGCATCATTGAACAGACTTGTGTGCCACCGCAGTGATGAAATCCCATGGTGCATTTCTGTAGCAGCCACTTCAGGAGTGTGATCAAAGTATAGTGTTTGATGTGTGGTTATGGCTGCTTATAGTGCAAGGATCATTCATCATTGTTAAAGAGACTGCAAGGAATAAAGCATTGTATCTTTGTGGTCTTCTGAAATCCTACATAATGCCCCTTTAAATAATTGCATTCTTTGCGACCATGAAGCAGTGATTAATCTTATAGCCCAATATGACCCACTATATACACTACACTCTCACAGCACATCAAGAACATGTTTGAAGTGCGTTTCAAGCTTGCTGCGTCACACTGTTGTCACTAATGTAATGTATACTATTAAGTATTGATGTGTGTCTTGGTGGCTGTGTATGAGTGTTGAGCATTCTGAACCGCCCTGAAATTGTGTCTGCGTATGGGGCCTGTGTTTTATGAACAGTCCTGATATTGTGTCCACAGGGACACCATGGAGGTGGGTGCCGTGGCTGACCTGAGAAGAATCAAGAATGCCATCGGAGTGGCCCGAGCTGTGATGGAGCGCACCACCCACACGCTGCTGGTTGGAGAGTCTGGTCAGGGAACATAATCACAAACTTAATTTAAAACCTGCTCACGTAGTGAGACATGCATGTGAAAACTAGTGATAGTTGACTGCTTCATTTGTTGTGTTAGGTACCCCAGCTTTAAGTAAGAATAGTGAACCCCTTAAATGCTTGATGATGGCTGTAAAAACACTCAGTGGGAGGCCAAGGACAAGCAAGAGTCAATATTCTTTATTTAACACAATATGAGGCTTTCTCTGCAGTGCCACTGTAAGACATGTAAGACGTGTTTTCTTCCAGCTGCACAAGGTCAGCCTGGTGAGTGCACGTTCAACTGAAATGCCTCCTGTGTTTTAGCCTCTGTGTTTGCTGAAAACATGGGATTCACTGTGGAGGACCTGAGCACCAACACGTCCAGGCAACTCTTCTTCGAGTGGAGGAAGGGGAGCTGCCAGCCCAACTACAGAAAGGTGTGTCTGTGTGTATGTGTTTGTTCACTGGTTCTGAAATATACATGTGTGAGAAGTGGATCTGTGTATGCAGAGGGGAAGGCCACGCTCACGTTCATAGTTGTATCAAGAATCATTTCAGACGCAGTTAACCCTAACCCTTAGCAATTATGTTTCTCTTTATTTATTTTCCTATTTTCTTCCCATTCAAAAGCTTTCAGTCACAATATTACAATGTGATTTGGTTTCTAAATGTGTATCATGATTCATGAAAAAAAAAAGCTGTCGAAATGAAACCACACATAATGCAAAGCTACCTTTTTGAGCTTTTAACCAAGTTAGAATATTATTCCTCATCAAACACAAATATAAGGGACTTCTGACACAAACGCATCTCCCCGGGCCTCAATCTAAATGTTCCTTTTAATACTGATATTGCTCTGATTATAGGCAGTTCATTTTTTATTATACAGCCTAAGTACTGACGTAAACATAGAATATCCCCATGGAAAATAAGTTAGCAACAGGAGATAGTTTCTAAAGCAGGTTGGAATTTCATAAATTAAAGGCGTCTGATCAATGGTCTGGTCAAACCTTTACAAGGCTCATAACTTGATTAACAAAAACAATATGATAAAAACAATCAGTTTGGCTTCCCGTTTACATGGAGGGTGTAAATTCAAGTGTTTAGAACAGAACAGATACGCTGCACAGCAGGGGGCTTTTTCACTGCCGCGTGAAGAAAAAGGTGTGAATTCTCTGCCTTCTATGACCTCACCACTTCCCTGCACGTATATTTGGATATGCGCAGTAGCAGTGTAGTGCTTGGAACCAGTGGGAGTTGGAGCAAAACTCCACCATGAGCACTTCCCTAATGGGCTTCATTGTGCTAGCGGGTTTGCATTGCCAGTCTGCAAGCAGCAGATGCAAACTGTAATACGTAGCGCATATTGCATTTATTTTTATGTGCTAAAAGCATACATTGAAAAATACAATAACTGGAACATATTCCTGATTGTATGATTTTTGTGCAATATCTCATCTTCTTTTCCTTATTAGACGTATACACAGACTCACAGCTGCGTCCTCCAAACGTCTCCTTTTAAACATTTTCTTATTAGGTGCCAAAAGTTTCTGCGGCCTGTCCTTTTGATCATATTTACCATATTACAGCTTAACAAGGCCAATCCAGGAGTTCTCAAATGTTCTGTACCAGTCAAGGATGCCTCCTTCTCTCCATTGCACACTTTCTCTGCACTAATATTGCAGTCACACAGACTCTCACAAAAATGTAACACAAGCTGAGTAGTGCTGCAGGTGACAGTAAAGCCGTTATTGTGTTATATCCATTCAAAACTCTTTTAGAAATCGTTGATGTTAAACATTTTGAGGCTTCTGACTCTTGCATTTACCACTGATTCTCCACATTTCAGAGGAGCTTTGGATGAAATTTACTCAAAGATTTGAAACAAAGTTGCTCGACAACCTTGGCCACGAGGTTATATTGTTGAGTTTACACAATAGGCACTAAAACAAGACAGTCTTGGGTTTGTGTCATAGGGCACAGTGTAGTTCAAGACTTTTGAGTTGATCTCAGCAACAACAAGCAATACTTTGTGAAATTGCACACATACAGGCTTCAATATATCAATCATTTAACTTTACAGCCCATTCTATGTACAGTGGTCCTCATTTATGAAACTTGCGCAGAAAAGGGTGTATATTTTTGGTGTATTTTCCTTGTACGCAAGACGTGATCTAAGAAAGTGTGAGATCCGCACAGATCTGAGCGTACGCAGCCGTGGCTTTTGATAAATGCAGCGCTCAAAACTAGCATATTCATGAAAGTTACGCCGTTTTTACGACAGGTCAGCATGGAAGTCGGCCAGCAAGACTTTTTGGAAGCCTCAGAAGGCTTGTTAGTGACACGCACTGAGTTTATATTGAGTTTTATTGTATTATTTTGTCAAAAAATAAAAAATAAAAACACCACTATATTATATATACTATATTATATATTTTTCCCTAGTGTCTTGACCCGCTGCAGCACTCATCTCTCTTGAACTTTAGAAATGAATGAATGAATCTTAATATCTCAGCGGTGACTCTCATCATTAACTGGGTCAAGCGTCAGCAACATCTTCTTGTGAATGCAATGGAGCGATCTCTGTGAGAGAGAAAGGATGCGTTTGAGTTTGAGAAACTCCATAACGTCTGAATGACGCGCACCACATCTGGCAAGTGCGGTGGGACCTCTGTGACACCCGCTGCGTACTTCTCAAAGAGCCCCTGCCCGTGAGCCCGTTCCCACCAATAAGTGCTTTGCCGTATCTCTGCCATCGCTGCGTTTATGGGGCTTTATGCACAAAACTAATGAAAAATTACGTTGCTTTGCCAGAGGTGAATGAGACAAAACAAATAGCCATGCGTTATTACGCAGCGCAGAGTCTGCCACAGATTTACGGAGAAATAAATGGTCACACATTAAGTAGTTAAGTAAGCCAGGTGTATTTGTATAGCGCTTTCACAGACCAGGATCACAAAGCGCTTATTTTTTTTTTTTAAACATACAGATGAAAATAATACACATACAAGTCAGATTTAAAATCAAAGAAACAGAAGAGGGTCCTCATTATGAACTGTGATTTATTCAAAGTGTGCGTGTTTCCATTAGTTTTTCTGATGCGCAAATTAAAATTTCAAAATTTGATGCTCAATGAAAACGCAGCTTGTAATTTTTCCAAAGTGGAACTTTTTTTTTTTTTCAAAAGGTTTATTGTTGTCCTAATCTTAAATTCCATGCGTGTTTTGACGTGTTGTGATGAAGGTTGAAATGGGTGTAAAATTTACACCACCTACTGAATCAGCGTACATTTTGTGCATACCGTGCACCAGGTGTCTCCAACCTTTTATTACCCAAAGACCTACTTTCCAAGGTCAATAAAGGCAGAGAGCTACTCCTTTTAGCTAACCCTGGGAAAAATGTTGTGATATATTGGTGTGAACAAGCCTGATATTGGATACAGTCATTATATATCATTGCATATTTGTTACTAGTGACAAAGTAAGTGCCTTTACAATAATGAAAAATGATAATGAATAATGCAATATGAAATATCAAGTGTATTGTTGAATTTGGTCATTTCTAAATCCTTTGGCGAGCTACCTGGAAGGGGGCGGCGAGCTACCGGTGGTTGGAGACCCTTGCCGTACGCCCACGTCCAGGTTGATTAATGCCGAAAAGTGTAAATTATATGCGTACGCCTAATTTACACCCTGATTTGGCTGTACGCAAGTTTCATAAATGAGGCCCAGTGTGTCTGTGGTATGACACTTCTCATTCAGGGGAATCTTATTGAAGACTTCCAATATACAGAGGTCAAGACTGTAATAAAGCTTTGATGGACTTTCATGAGAGAGCGATGCTGGCTATGTCCCTTTAGCAGAGTTTAATTTCACATTTTCTCCTCTGGAAGACAAAGTGAAACAAGTGGTGAGAATTACTGTTTATACTGCTACATGAGTTCAGGATGCTTTTTTCAGTTTGCTTTGCCTCCATTTGCTTTGCCTCCAGAGATTATTCCTCCATGGTAAAATCACAAAGTTACGTAGAGTTAGGGCCGGTAGAAGGTCTCCTTGTAAAGGGCTAGAGGAGGAAAACAGGAAAACAAACTATGCATTATTGAGAAATATGACATGTGAAAATGTATAGTATTTTCACTTAAACTTGTATCAAAGACTTTTCTTCGTCCAGCCCTAATATTTACCAATACAGAAACCTGAAGGACTTCTGGAGCAGATTTTTTCCTTTTCTACCTGAATGGTTTTGTGCTCTGAGCTTTGCATGGAGGCTTTGGGTTGTGGAGACACCAGCTCCCCCACATCATAGCACCAGGAACAGGCCAGTGTTTCCACAGAAGTAAGGAGCAGTGCTGACAGCTAAAGGATATAAGGATCATGTTTTATTCATACGACCTACACTTGTGAATACACGCTTAGTTCAAACTGTACAAGAGCTTCAGTCAGGTTACACAGCTGTCACACTGAGGTTGCGGCTGGGATGATGAAAGCACACTCTACTTAAACGCTGCTGTGAACTGTGTTTGCTGAAATAACTCGACTGTAACATCTTCTAATTCTGAACCAAGCCTCAGTGACCCAAGATGTCTGCCCATTCAGCTCAATGCCCTGTGCTCATTGGTGTATGGTCTCACCATGGACGTCTCAAATATTAGCTGTAGTGACGCATGTTGGCCACCTCAGTCACTCAGTCCTGCTCCTGCCCCTCTGCGCAGGAGGACGTAGCTGTATTTTATAGTGTATCCCTTTGACAGATCCAGCAAAGCAAATTTCCTTTTTATTGGCAACTATAAATATTGCTATCTGTCTGTAACTCCCCATGCTACCACTAGAGAGAGGGAATTTACTAAATATTGAATTACCATCAGCACAGTGATTCTAAATAATGTAATTCCACCTCAGAAATCACTAAAACTGATAAATGGGCAATATAAATTAGAATAAAAAAATACAGAAAACTTCTTTAAATGTGATGCCATACTGGTACTGATATCAAACTATTAGAGGACCAAGACAGGAGCTTTCAGACAGAAAGACCAGAGCAACATGTTTGTGACAGAAGCTTGTTGTATTAGCGTGGATGGGTCTAAAAACAACTGCCGGTCTGTTAGTGTTGAACAATGTTGGAAGATGGAAAACACAAATACTGCCGGATGAATTATCAGCAGTGGTTCCCAACGAGCATGATGTGTCGTCACTTTAAAAGTAGATCGTAGTGGCTGGTTTGTGTGATTTATTTGTTCTCCGCATAAATCCTAATTAGTAATCTCCCAGCTGAGTCAGGCCAGCCTTCCAGAGGGCTGAGAAATAAATACAAATTAAACTACATACAATACAACTCAATGGGGCGACAGTAGCCCAGTTGGTAGAGCATTGGCCTAGTTGGTAGAGCATTGGCCTTTGGGCCTGGAGGTCGTGGGTTCGAGCCCACCATCATGGGACCTACTCCAACTAATCCCACAAATGTCGTCTACTGTCGTTGTGTCCTTGGGCAAGACACTTAACCCCACATTGCCTGAAGCCCCCGCTGAAAGACCAAGGCGGTTTCACCACTGATGTAGCAGCCATCTTCCTGTGGACCCACCACCTGCAGGAGGATCAGCGAGGGACTGGTGCTATGAGCATTGGGTGGCAGCTCTCATTGCCACCCCCCCGACCCAGAAATTGACTAATAAAGGGGTTGAAAATGAATGAATGAATGAACAAAAGGCATGCAGCGAAATTAATCATTTCCCTTAAGAAAAAAGTTTGTTTTAATCCTTTTTCATTGAATTTGTTTTTCTGAACTGGAATTTTATTATTAATGGACTATAATTGCTCCACAATTAAAGCTGACATAAACTGTTTTCAAACCAGAAATTCTGATTTGACATGATTCAGCAGAAAGTGTTGTAAGTTGATCACTGAGGGGCAATTTCTTCTTAGTTATGGGGATTTGTTATAATAATTTGTTTAAATATGTTGTAAAATGTATTTAAATCTACACAGAGATGGGAGATGTTTTTTAAGGAGTAAAATATTCAGCTTGCATTCTACAGGACAGGAACCAATTCAACAACAAAATAAATTGATTATACAAACACAGTATTTGCTGAGATGCAGGTCATTCTAGACAAGCAAGTGACATTAATAAGTTACAAGTCATATCTATGGAGAGGTGAGCCAATGGAATAGTTTAAGTTTATGAGCATTTCAAATCAGCCAGAGGACACTTGCACATATGTATTTTTCCTTCTGCAGAACGTGTTCCCAGATCCTTCTAAGCACTGCGGACCGTACAAACCCCTGGACTCTCTGACCGATCCACGAACGAGGAATTATGCCAGCGCACCCTCCCATGACACCATCGGTAAGACCGTTCCATCGCCATCCACACGGCTGGGGGACCTAACTATCTTTTTCATATTTGGGCTGAGGGAAGTTTTTTCTGATACTTTTACTATCAGGCCAGTGTGGGGGATTTAAAATGCTTCCCATGATCAGGGGTGCACATAACTTTTTCAGTGAGGTACTCAGATGAGTACGAGGACATGGTGTTACTCACACCATTTGTCGCGCGGTTCTTAATCGAGATTATATACTTGCTTATTTTTAATGCTAAAGTTTCGATCAGGTCAGATAATCCACTCAATCCAAGTCAAATAACCCATTAAGGCCTGACCCACCTGATAAAACAGACCTGTAAAACCATATGGCCGATGTTAGAACCACCCTCCAAAACCTGAGGTTTTCCTCAAATTCAACGTCTACAGAATGATTGATATCTCGATCTCTGTAGCAGATAGAAACATAATTTCAAAAGAATTTGAGAGCTGGCACTCGTTAATAAAAATGCTGTGTATAATGTCGCCAAAATGTAATTTGACTGACGTGTTCAGAATTTGATACAGAAATAAGGCCAAGAATGCAAGAGTACTTTCTCAGAGTACTCATCCCAGAGTACTCTCACTTTTACACCTGTTCAATAAAGCTTGTTATCTTTGAATCTCTAGTACTTACACCGTATGCTGTTGACAAAAAATAATTATTCCATGATCACATTAAAACATTACAGAAAACTTTTGTTATTCCATCCTCCGTTCAGCACTCCTTATTCACTCCTCATTTCACAACACACTCACATCACACTCACACAGGCCGACTCCCCACGTTAGTATATTGGTCCAGAGTTTGTTAAGGTCAACGTAGTGTACTTGACATGACGCACAAACATATAACATACACAAACATATAACATACACAAACATATAACACACACAAACATATAACACACACAAACATATAACACACACAAACATATAGACAACACAGGAGGCCTGTAATTTTAACTTTGTTATATTTTTCCATGTCCAATTACAATTGTCTCATGAGCTATTTCATTGTTGCAACTTTCAGAGCCTGCAGAACATGCAGAGCTTTTTAAGAGATTTTTTCCTAAAAGGATCCATTTCAAACTAGTGTTTAAACCACGTGGTCTTTGCTCGGGCTTATCACAGATTGTGTCCCCTATATTTTTAATGAGCTCTTGTTACTTTAAAAAACTCGTGCACGCGCCAAAAATGTTTTTCCCTTTTTTTTCTTTTTCAGTAAAGCCAGGTCGGATTCATTAAAAATGTAAATTAGTCTCAAACTTTAATACTTGTTTCACGTTCATGTGGAGAAAAGACCATTGTTCTATGTGTGTTGTCGTACTTGCACCAATCATGTCTCAGATGAACTGTCAACAGTTGTATCAAAGACATAATTGTCCTAATTGTTTCTAATTTAGCTATTTGGAAGAGAAACATGTCATAAAAGATTTCATAAAATGTCCCTACATCCTTGTTTTCAACCAATGAACAGTGTTGCGTCAATGTGTTATCAGAAATGATCCAATATCACCTTTAGCCAAAATTTAGAAATGCTTTAAATCATTTTTCAAACTTTAATTGTCTGAACAAACCATTTTGTACTAAATGCAGCGTCCATTAAAAGCTGCAGTTCTCTTTCTAGCACCAGTTTCAACTGTGCATGTGATTGTTTTTAAATGATTAAAGAGCCACGGTTCAGAGGTTGAAAAATTGCCTTCAATATCCGTATTACCAAGATCATGCAGTCAAAATCAATAATTCTAAACTTCTCCGCGTCTATAACTTTAAATAACAATAATAGTTTTAATAATAAAACTCATCTAAATCATGCACAGCTATACTACAATTCTAATCTTCTTGTGTCTCATTCTAAAGTAAGAGTAATTTTGACGATCGGCTTGTAATCATTCATGCAGTTAAATGTAGTGTTATGAACGAATGACCTAAATGTGTAAATATGTCTCTATGCGTTGTTGCCTGTCTGTATACTACCTTTTGTCTGTTTCATTTAGCCCGGCCACGTCCTCCTCTTATGGCGTCTTTCAATGTCTTTTGTCTCAAAGTGTCCAATGTCTTTGCCTCAATGCCTTTTTCCTTCTTCTTTAAACAATCACTTTCTTTCTTCCTCTTCTTTCAATCACTTTCTTTCTTCTTCTTTCAATCACTTTCTTTCTTCTTGCAATGTCCTTTTCTTTCATGTCTTCTTTGTCTCATTTTTGACGCACACCAATGTGTCGTCCTTCGCTTGGTTTACACAACGTTCCTCTCCGTGCACATAACTCCACTCGGTTTGTGCAAAAGTCTGGTTCTTCTCCATGGAATGGAGGCCGGAGAGGTCTTCTTCGAGAGTTCCTGTTAGCTGCTGCAGCCGATGCTGCTATCTTTGCTGCCCCCTGCGACCCGCCGGGAGAGGGGGAGACGCTGATGGTCCGTGTTGATGGCGCTCGATTGTGGTTTGTGGCAGGCGTTTTTGGCCAAATGAAACAGACAGAAGTTTTCTCGGAAAAAACAGACAAACAAGAAACACAAACAAGTGTGTTAATTACCATACAACCAATGATTAATTACAAATCTACATAAACCTATCAAATAATTAATATTAACATTTTAAACATTAGATTCTGAAAACCGAATTCTGCATTCAACTGCTATCCTAAGCCCTATTTTTCCAAAAGTATAATGCTCTCTAAGATCATTCTAACTTTTATATCACCAAAATGTAGGGAAAAAACTTGTCCAGACGCCTCGGAGATAAAAATAAAATAATGCCTCTTTATAATCTAACTCAAAGTTCTGTGATCCTAGTGACTCCATGTCAGTAACATTATCGTGTGTATAAATGTAATTTTCTACAAAACATATATTTGGTAATAGTTCTTTCTTCACGAGAGAGAGAGAAAGACAGAAAGAGAGAGAGAGAGAGAAAGAGGGAGGGGAGGGGCCTCCCGAACAAAGGAAAACATGGAGTCTGAAATACTTCCTCCTGTTAGCTACATTTTCCTCGTTTTTATCGTGACAAGGTCTTAATCAGTGGTAAAAGTTTTTCTCACGTCAAACGACACTTTACATTTTATCCTTAAATACGTCAGTAATGGAAAACATTACAATTTGCTTACATGACCAATGCATCACTAGGTACAGTCGGATCTTTTTTTTTTTTTTTTTTTAATACCTCTGTAACTATTGAAACATTACATCAGAATAAGAGAAAAACTTCCATAACTGATCATTCTGGTCATTTCTTCACATGGAAACTCGTCTACTACAGCCAAGTGGCTCTCTTTTTTTTTTTTCCTCATTATTCAGATCATTATTATCAGAATCCACAGTTTAAATACTTGGCTTTTTTCCTGCTTAAATGTACCCTTTTTCCCGCCCCCCGGGGGATATAGAAGGTTTTATTATCCTGTTCTGACCCTAAAGCTGTCCCTATTTCTCTAATTCTATTCCTATTTTTTCACTAATACACTTGTGCCTCTCTGCACGAAGGTGTGCCTCTTTTGCACTTATAAACCCTGTGGACCTCTCATCTATGTTCTGTTTCAATGTTCTGTTTTATTTAAGGAGGGACCAATTCTTCCTCCAAGGCTAAAAACGTCTAAACCTGACTATTGTTCTATCGCGTCCGATAGAATCGCCCGTCACGGCGGTCTTGTCCACGCTGCAATCATGCTGGGCTGAGATCTCTCTGTCTTCTATTTAAAACAATGTGCAGATTTTAGAAATGGTATCTGCTTACCTGTGTTTTGCAGAGTAGAGAGCCCCAAGACCCAACAGACCCAGTCTATCTATCTGAGCTCATCTTGCGTCTTCTTTCTGTATCAAATCACGTCGGGGTCACCATCTGTCGCCAAAATGTAATTTGACTGACGTGTTCAGAATTTGATACAGAAATAAGGCCAAGAATGCAAGAGTTAAAAATAGAACATTTATTCCTCTTTACAATTAAATATTGATACAAAACTCTTTGAGCTCTTAATTTCCCTAAATCTAACCCTATGCTGGCCATTCTAAACTGTCCCTCAAGGCCTGAAAATGTGCAGAGAACATGCAGGCGCTCTGCCATGTTCTCTGTCTCTATCCCTGCTCTGACTGACAAAAAATCTCCTCCCAGCAGTTTCTATCAGAAGGTCCGATGACGTCACAGGTCCCAGACTGGTCCAGTCTGATCCAGCTTTTTCTGGTTTTGGGAGGCGCGTACTCCAGCCAGCCTGGACTCCGGACTTTGGTCTGGTCTTGGTCTGGTCTGACATCAATCTCCTTCTCCAAACAACTCTTATCTGGCTGGGGAGCTCTGCATTCCTCACATGGTCTGGCCGACTCGGACTAGGCCCCACTTAATATGAAATCACTGAAAATATAAACGACGTGTGCAGCATTTCTTGAGATGATGCATTAATAATTATAATCCTTCAGTAGAATAATACAAATAATATACAACTTCCACACAGGAGAGGTAATAAAACAACCAATAATAAAGTTTATGTGAAGTACGCAAATGCGCTAACTAACTCAAGAGATAGTATGCATTTCTGATATTTGCCGCGCATGCGTACCTGCGTACCACTTATGTGCACCCCTGCCCATGATGTTCAAGAAGGGATTCCATATACAGAGGTTGTGGCTTTCTTGGGACTGAACCCACCTGGTTAATCTTGTCTGCACTTGTCTTTCTTTAAACTTGAGATCAAGTTTACGCCTCAAGTTAGAAACTATGATAATTCTATATAGTCAAATTGACTCGTCTGTAGCCTCTCTTCCATCTCCGAGTGAAAGCAGTAACTGTGGAGACAGGCTCAGTGCAGATTACACTGCTGCAATGGTGTTTTCTCCCTCTCACTTGAAACTTTGATTTTGGCCTCAGGGATGATCGCTGTGGATGCAGAGGGACATGTAGCTGCTGGCACCTCAACCAACGGACTGACACACAAAGTGCCTGGGTCTGTACCTGCTCATTTCTATGTTCTGGAAGTGTGTCTTGCTGGGATTGACCAGTGACTGAAACTGAGGCTTTTGCACAATTGCTCCTCTTGACATGGCATCAACTAGAGCAGTTTAGTTTAGCCATTAGGGAAGATGGGGACTATGGGGAAAACACTACTGTACTTCTCATTTGGCTCATTTCAACAACAAAAGAAACACATTTCATCTTTTTTTTTTGTTAGATTAAGTGCATCTAAGCTGGTCAAACCACAGACTGTATAATGGACAGAGCATGGCCTAATCCATACAAAGATATGGACTTCCAGTCATGAAGCTGGCCATTAACGACCTTGGGCAACCCCTTCCTGCAGGGAAACTAAAAAAATACAACAAATTGACAGTAGTTTCAGGGACCTTCAAAAATCCACAGCGGGAAAACAGGCCTTGAACCTCCTGGAGCATTAAAGCTGCATTACCTGACTTTTATTCCTTACAAAAATTAAAACCATATTTATGCAATGCATTGGGATATACGTCCTTTTGAAGAAAAAGTAGCGCAGATTTGTGCTGGCGTGTCATTTTATTTTAGATGCAACAAGGAGGTTTTTGGGTCCAGATTGTGACCAATCACAGCGGACCACTGGCCCCGCTTTCTTGAGAAAAGCCACAGGTCTCTCGTTAGCACAGATAGCTGAGGTAAAAAAGCAGCAGACGCTAACCTGAAACTTCCCGTGTCTTCGTTACCGGTTTCTGCTTACACAGCCAAACAGCCATTCAAAAGAAAGTCTCGTTCATCCGCGCTTCCCGGTTCAATCATTCTATGGTCACGCCATCCACGTGCAATCCATATTGTGAGACGTGAGCTCCATGCTACACATGGTGTAGCATGTAGCATGTGAGCGCAGGCTGGGGGGAGGGGGGTAGTGGGGGGCAAAATCTCCGTGCGGGGAGGGTGAGCAAAAAGAGCGAGCTCACCGATTTCTCAAAGTCAGTCAGTGCAGCTTTAACATGCATGTGGAACTTAGCATTGGTCCAAGAACCATGTTTTTACCAGGCTCTAAAGCTAATAAAGATGATTAGTAAAAACAATAGACCCTCAATAAATGCATGTTCCGTAGTGTGGCATCAGTCAACACTGTGCTGTCAATCAAAGCCCAAGGGAGCCTCAGAGCCCTGATTGGTCAGTTATTATTATTCAAGTTTGATCTTCAAAAACTTCTTTTACAGAAAATATCCTTCTCTGATGTGCTCTTTAAACTTATGTTTATTCTGACGCATTGATCGTCTTTGTGATGAGGGTCCTGAGGCAGCTGTCACGAGCATCACAATCTAACCTCTGCAACTTCTGTCTTAATATAACTCCTCCTTTCAAGTGTTCATCTGCTACTGCTGCTCGTCCCTCTCCCCCCTTCTCACTTATAACTCTAAAACGGATAATGACTGTTCCAATGGTTTTATTGAAATTGTATAATTTTCTTGGGCGATCCAAAAATGTATACATTTGTTTGAGGAAGGACTGTGGGTCAGAGCAGAGGGGTTACGGAAAAGATGATTGTGCTTTCACATTCACTCATAACAAGTGCATGTTTTCATTTGAAACAAGGTCTTAGAGAGGGACATGACACTAGACATTCATCTTTTGTTTGTGGTTCCTGTATTCTTGGGTTTCATTAACCTGGCCTGTAGGGGGCGAATGAGCAGAGATGGGACAACTCAGTTTTGCTCTCATTGAAAACCATATAAATCTTGTCTGTTTTGGAGTCAAAAGGCTCTCATCCTGTGCGGTGGACAGTTGTTGTAACAGTCTTAATTGGGAGGGGGACACTCAATTCTAAGGGAGTACAAAAAAATATGTCTCAAAAAAGTCTTGATTTCAGGCATTTTTGGAAAAAATATAAATTTTTTCAAAATGTACTCCTTTATATGAGACCACAGTTGGAACACGGAAGAAACTCTTGTCTTTCTCTCTATTTGCGCGGTTGCTACAACCGTACACTGCCAAAAATATGGCATTTTGACAGCGCTTATTCTTCTACTATATCTCTGAGTATGTACCCAGCAGACTGCACCACCACCAGGGTACGTCATGTCCGGTCCTCTCCCACGTATTTCATTCGCGCCACTGCCTCAACGTCATATGAAACCCAAGCAGTAATGTTTTCTGTTCATTTGATATGCATCTATCTCTCAGCCTTTGTTTTCCACCAAGCATCAGTTAAAGGAGACAATGAGTTATAAACCTGGCCCATAACTGCTTTTCAAATACCCAAAGGCCACTTACCGAGATGCTTTGAGGGGAGTCGCAAAAGGCCCTTTATTTCCAATGAGACGTGTGTGAAAAAGCCTGCTTTGGCACTTCTGCGCCAAAGACACATTTCTGCTGAGTGATACACCCACTGCTGTACAAGGGACCAGCGCACCGCAGGTGGCTCAAAGATCTCTTCAGGATCACACTTGATGAAATAATGAAGAAATCTGTCTATCGCTAAACTTACAACAATCAGCTTTCATTTCTTCTCATCATTTCATACAAAGCTTAAAGCAACTGTGGCGCACAGCGGCCGGACTGTGATTTAACTTCATCTTGAGGTGCAGATACACATCTGGAGCTCTGAAAGAGACACAGGTGTCAATGTGTGCGCCACTTGACCAATGCTTTAACTGTGTCATGCTGACATCAATGAACCATGAACATCATTAGCATAAGCTCATGGACAGTATGTACACAGTGAAGTGAAACATTGGACAGGCTTTGGTCTGCTCTGTGATGACACACCTGCATAGAACAGTGCTTTACACAAAGATCTACTCCAAAAGATAATGCCAGCTTATAGCCTGCAGACGGTTGTCAGGCTCGGGTTCAGACAGAATTTGGACTCTACACTTGATCCTGGGGATTTCTCATATTGCTTTGGTAAATCAAGATTATCTTTATAACAGGCCAATCAGGTGCCTTCTTTCCCTAATCAATAGATACATAGATACACTATTATAAGGAGTAAGTTGATTCGTAGTTATCTGATTCAAACACAAAAATGCTGTCATCTTTGAATAATTAAATTTAAGACATGCACACAAATGATTTGTATGTGTTGTTTCTATTCGCAGGCGTGTGGGGGACTCTCCCATTGTGGGCGCTGGGGCGTATGCAGACAGCTCTGTTGGAGGAGCAGCTGCCACAGGTGACGGGGACGTGATGATGCGCTTTCTTCCCAGGTACAAACACCTCTCTGTTCCCCGTTCAGCTCTCCTCAATACATGTGACATCCCTGCTTCAAACGGAGCGCCCATGCTCAATCTTTGAACTGTCAGGGCTGCTCTTTAATCACCGCAGCACAGACGTTATGATTTGGCTAAACACAGTTAAAACGCAGGATAAAAGCCAAACAATAGTGATGCGCGGCGCGGGGGCGTGACTGCGGTGCCCCAAAACTGTCATGTCAAGACGCGATGCATCTGACTTAAGGCTGGCTCCTCGTTGCCGCTCAGAGACTGCTTTCTCACAAGTGTGTTGGACTGTATGTTGTTATTTATGTGTCCGCGCCTAAAAACCCCAGGAGAGCGCGCGCAGCTGTGGAGATGGAAGCGGGGTTTGGAAAGGAGATAAATGTGGGCAGAATGTCTTGAAGAATTGTTGTTTTGTCTTCTGCTCAAGAACAGTAAAGATGTGGGATTCCAGAGAGAGAAACTGTGTCAAACAATGATTTACATGTGAGGAAAAACAAGATGGTACTTTTGTCTTGCTGAGGAACATGACGAATCCAACAGACACGATCTGGCAGTGCGCTTGAAAATGTATCAAATTACTTTTAAAACATAGCTTGTTTTAATTATGCATCATTGATGCCAACGGTGTCCTTACATATAGAGGGGATTTAACAGGCCCAGCTCCAGTGTGCACTCAAATAAAACATTTACATTACTAGAAATCAGATTACCACACATGGCTTAAAATAAATTGAGATGAATCCCTGCCGTCCTTTTATCCCTGTAAAATAGAGGCTTTTAAAACAGTCCAAATAGTTTCATGCTTCATCCCCTCTGACTGATTTCTGAGTTGATTCGATGACCACAGCTTTCACCTATTGATATGTGTGGCTCTTTTTTCTGATTTCTGATGTTTGTGTCATTGAGTCTTCTTTTTGGCCAATATGAAAACTCTCACATTCTATTCTAGTCTTACAGTTGGCCTGGTTGTCAACATGTTTCATATATTGTTCCATTCAATGGTTTTTGAACAATCCATTTTTATATTCCTCACCATTTGAATCTTAAATCTTGTGCATTGTTCCCTAAAAAGGTTGAAATGCTGATGTCTAATTGAGATTATTTGGGCTTTTCATCAAAGACCTATTTGAATTCGAATGTCCCGTTTATGAAATCTCACAAAGGCTTCTTAAGCCTTTTCTGTCGTTATTTCATTCCTTAGTTTAAAGCATGGTCGCGGATAATGTCAGACACTGGTCCCCCAACCCATGGAGCATCTTTAAAACTAGATCATTATATACAGTATGTAGCGCGGCATGTAATATGCTCTTATTACAATGGCCTCATGTTCAGTGTTCCTACGTTAATATAACTGCATCATTGATTTTGAAAATGAAAAAGAAGAAAAGATAACCGTTGGAACGGAACGGCACAGCACCAAATCTAACAAGCTTCTGAGTTGTAGAGCAGATGTTCATGTTTATTCTGACTTGTAAAAATGTCTTCTCGCTGTTTGTTTACAAAACTCACTCATTCCACACAGATCCAGACTAATGGCTTCACTTTGGAAACCGCTCAGTTCTCAGCACGGCTTTCTGCATACACATGAAGCACAAGATATAATTCTCGGGAGATACACATACAGTATTGACATAATCTAATAATGAAACTCAGCCACTGACGCAATAACAGCCTTGTGAGCAGGCCATTACCCCTGTATTTCTCTCCAGAATACTGTAATAATCTCAAATGCTGCTGTAGGAACTAATTCTTCTGGCAATGTCTTTTTAGATGTTATAAAGCTGAGTCAATTTTTACCCCTAGATTTCTGACCTGTTTTTAGGGAGAGACTAAGTTTGCTTGTTTCTCCAGCAAACTGAAATGATTGTCTTTGTTCGACCGAAAGTTGAACATGGTCCAACAAATGACTCACTTCATTATTAACTGACAGTAGAGATTGAACAGAAAGGGTCCCAGGATAGACCCCTGTGGTACTCTAATCTGTTGCAATTAGTTCATGCAACAACATGACCTAATGACAGCATGAAGAGACTGAATATAAGAATTTACGCACAGAGGTTGTAGTTCAAGTAAGTAAGTAATCTTTATTTACTGCATAAAGCAACTTTCACAGACAAAGCGTTGTACAATTGTTGTGGGCATGTCTCTCACTCCACTTATGCGTCCGTTTATCTGCTTGTCATCAGTTTCTTGGCGGTGGAGCAGATGAGAGGCGGGGCCGACCCCTCCTCCGCCTGCAGGACGGCCATCTCCAGGATCAAGAGGTACCACCCACACTTCTTTGGGGCCATCATCTGTGCAAACTCTACAGGCAGTTATGGTAAGGGCTTCTGAACAACTATTTCAAGCTGAATATGAAATTTTATTGCATGTGATGAGATGGCAACCAATACATCTACTAAAATATATATACAGTATATATATGCCATCCTGATGCGCTCCCAACTAGACACGTAGCGCACATGCCAGACTACTGTCTACCTAAGTTGCTTCTATACAGCAAGTAGGTTGCGCGTTCGCACACATTGGTGGTCAAAGCAAACGATTCCAAGATACCCTGAAAGCCACTCTGAAAAAATAGGGCATCAATCCAGACACCTGGGAGACTGTGCACCAACCGCACACATTGGAGGTCACAAATAAAGCAAGGGACATATGAAGAAAAGCTAATTGAATCGGCTGAGCAAAGATGCAGCGCCTTGCCTCAACTACTGGCTAGATTTCCTGCCCCCACTGCCCTCGCCTCTTTTGGCACAGAATCGGGTTGACCAGTCACCTCAAAACCCATTAAGTGATCTTTATCTATTTGGAGAACGGATGCTCATCTTCGAAACAAAAGGAATTATCATTAATAATATTTCATCAGGAGGACCAGGGACAGTATATAAACAAAAGATCTGCACATTCACATAAAGGAATTCCTCCGCTGAGCTCGAGTTCGCAACGGTTTTCAAATAGGGTGTCATCTTATTTTTGACCATAGAGCACTGTGCGAGATGTACAGTAAGCAGAGTTCTCACCAGCAATTTCCAAATAATCAGCAATATCAAAAACGGTCGTATGCTCCTTCTCCGCTGCTTTAATTGTAACTGGTATTTTGACTGAATGCTGCACGCACCTGAGCAGGGAAAAGGGCTCCATGCAGAAGAGGGGCTGACAACAGCTTCTCCAATGACCAGTGCGCACGGCTGCAGATGCCATGTCGCTCTTGCTCTGTTCCAGTGCAAAAGAAATCTAAGACATCCAGCATATTATACAAATGTAATCTGCATTTGCATAATAAGTGTTCCAACTAACAACATGGTCTTCACTTTTAGCATAATAATAATAATAATAATAATTAATAATAATACATCAAACTTGTATAGCGCTTTTTTGGACACTCAAAGACGCTTCACATGGGGAGTAGAATACAGTAATAAAAAGGGGTTTACGGAAAAGCTTGTTTGAAAAGATGGGTTTTGAGTACTGGGCATGGGATCTTAATTTTCTTTCATTGAGTTATTAATATCATTTCTGCTTTGTAATATGTCCAAATTGAATCTTGGGGCTGGCTTTTTTGCTGTGTATTTACAGCAGAATCAAGATAATTTAATTCAGAAACAATGCAGGAGATGTAATTGTTTTCCGTAAGCTTAAATGTTTAAAACACCTCTTTGATTCCCTCAGGTGCAGCTTGTAACAAAGTGCCTGAATTTTCTCAGTTCCGTTACATGGTGTCCAGCTCTGAGACTGCCTCGTCTGTCCTCCTGTCAGTCGACTGCATTTGAATATTTTGTCTGTGTAATAAACATATTTAATAATATAATATAAAAAGAGGCTTGTTTTATTCTGAATTGAACATGACTGATTTAAGTTACAACATGTTTTGTGCGTTGTGATGCACAACATTTCTGCACTGGTAAAAACACCACATTTTTTGTGGATGTAGTTAAAAGCCACAGAGCTGGTTGCTCTGTGCTCTGCTCTGTGCTCTGCCTCACAGGACGGGGCTTCTAACAGCTGGGCGCCCACTGGAAGAAGTCGCATTGCTTGCCCTTCATCAGAGCGCAGGTGTAGAAGCTGCGGCCATTGTTGGGCCCGAGTTTGAGAACCGTCCTCATTAGGCTGCGCTTCCCATGGAGACAAAAGGGGAAGTGCAAGTCGGCCCACTGCAACACAGGAAAGTGAGAGAAAGCATTATGACACACATTTAATACTTATTATGAACTGGGAATTCACGTTTATTTAGGGATTTAAATCAGATGCAGACAGGCGGCGACGGTAAACAATTACAGGCAGGTCAAAGCCATTACTGCAGAGGCCACTTTTCAATGTGTTGTGTCGACATAAGCTCACAATTAAATGCACAAGTAAAACTATTAAGCAACACATAACTTAAAGCCGTGGGATCAAACTTTCAAACCACAACAAGGAACTAAAAAAGTCAATTTTCTGCTATACCAGAAGCTCTCTGGGAAGGTTCCAGACTCCTGCGTGAGAGTGTGAGTACGGAGCAGTTCATCATTAACAGTTATCATTATTGAAAAACTCGATTAGTTCATTTGAATGTTCATGATTATTCCATTATGGCTTGAGCTCTAATGCTGGATTACAGACACCCCCTCTTGTGGTAAAAGGGGGAACTGCATTGCTTTTACATAATATCTTCCGGAATGTAGAACTTTTTAATTAGAGAAAATTTACCCAAAGTGTAGTGTGCTGCTGAAATGAAAGATTTTCCTAAAATGGCTGTGAGAAGCCTTAAGTCTACATTCAACATAGTTACTTCTAAGCGTTTGCAGCTTTGAGAAGTTCTAAAGATCTTTTTCACTTCCTTTTAATTGCAATTTAGCCCCAGGAGCTCTATCACAATAGTGTTGTGGATCACACAAAAATCACAACCAATATTTATTCACAACCAATTAATTTAAAGGACACAATGCTGGTGCTGCTATAAATGGATTCCACACTGCTTATAACTACACACAGATGCACACAAGTAAACAAACAATCCCTTCCATCACTCACCTCAAAGAAGCTGCACTGAGCGTCCCGAGGCAGAGAGCAGGCGTAGAAGACCCGACCTTTATTCTCCCCCTCTTTGTGGACCACACGCAGGACAGCTGCACGACCGTGGACGGTACAGCACGGAGCTACAGGTCCAGTAGGAGGTGCAGAGGAGCAAAAGCCCACTGCTGAGGGTAGGCTGAGGAGCACAAGATGAATGTTAGAAAGAGTCTACAGCGTGACCATGGGGGGTGCAAGGGTTCGTGTTAGTGGGAGACTGCTGTTGAAGTTTTACTGTTATGAGACATGTTTTTCTGTGTGACACACACCCAGAGACAGACACGCACACAAACCCCTCACGAAGTAAAGGGCCTCAGTGAAACTACCACACACACCGATCACGAAGCAAAGGGATCACGAAGCAAAGGGCCTCAGTGAAACTACCACACACACACACACGCACAGACGCTTCAAGTCGCCACACACAGCATTGACACACACACGCTTCAACACAAATTACCCAGCACACAACTTGAAGCATCAAGTTGTGTGCTGGGTAATCGCGTTCAGGACATCACTTCTTTAAGCCTTGTTTTGTGGATGTATTTTTGTTATAATAAAGTATAAAGAGCAACACTTATTTTCCAGTGTCATTTCATCACACACAGGTCAACATCAATGTTTGAAGCATGCAGGAGTGGGTACGGATATGTTTGCATCAGAAGTACGTCATATCAACGTGAAAGAATCCAAAAACCACTCCAGGTCTGAAATACAATATGGGGAGTAACTAGAAAAGACCATTTAGTAACTCATAATTATATGAAATTGGGACTCGAGTAAATGTCAAATCTAAAAAGAATGTTCTTCCACTGACCATGTTGGTGCCAGAAAATCCAGAAACACAGTGAGAGTGGGAGTATCCCGCTGAAGCAAAACTTAATCCTATTTTAACTAACTCCTGGGAGTCCCGGTTGCCAAGTTTAAGGGTCTCTCTGCTTTATGGCGTTTTCAGGTCTAACAAAAGCTATTGCAACAGCCTATTGGGGCTAGCCACACCACCACACCAGCTATATAAGCACAAAAACAATGCATGGATACATATATAGGTCAGACCGCAAGAAAGGAAAAGAATTGTCCCACACAGTGCATATTGGTCCTTAGATTTTGCATGAGGGTATTTTTGGGCTCCGTCACATGAGACCCAATTGAAAGGACCACCCTCATTCAGCCAGGTTTATAAAAAAAAGATAAAAAATTGTGGAATGTGAATTTCTATCATCAAATAATGCTGATGTTAGATTTCAAGCACACTGTATTTTGCACTGTTGTACCTTCTAGTTACGACCATTTTTGATGTCTCAGACAGTCTGAGGAGGGACTTTTTTACACCATGTGACAAGATAATGTCTATTGGAAAATCTGTTTATAATATACTTTGATATATGTATTTTTCCCAATATTTTAGTAGCTCTTTTCTCTTTTCTGCAGTGAATGTATGCCGTTGTACGCCATTCTAAATATGAAATTCTCCCATCAGCTCACACAAATACACTCATATTGTGGCTGAAGTGATGCTCTCACCGTGAGTTGGGGGTCCCATCATTAGTCCTCCTCTTCTTGGCTGGGTGAGTGTCACCCCCAGGGGTTGCGTCTGTGTAGGTGTAACTGGGGCTGGTGGTCCCAGGGCAGAGATTGGTAGGGTGTGGATCCAGGCCCTTGCCGTTAGGACTGTTTCAGAAAGAAATTATACTGACTTGATACCATTGTCATAAAACTTCAGCTTGGGTCGGGCAGATGTGCCTCTATGCAGACGTACCTGCGTGCAGTCATACTGTATGCAGTCGTACCTGTGCACAGACGCACCTGTATGCAGACGCACTTGTATGCAGACGCACTTGTATGCACTCCTACCTGCTGCTGGGGCCGACGTTGGTGAAGATGAGCGTTGAGGTGCCAAACGCAGACCTCCAGTTGAGCTTGCGCTCCTCTTGGGGCCTCTTGAATGTGGTGCAGGGGTATTTGATCAGGTCTCTGGTGAAGGGACCGGACTCTGGGCTTGTGGACTCTGAAAGAACTAAGGTCAAAAATAATACATTACATCAATATGACAATATACATTTTCAATATGCGGTTTCACTGTTGTACTCTGAGCCCTGTCATTAACTTTTCTTGATAGAAGGAAGTTGATTATGGGATGACCATTTTTCCAGGGACTAACTGATAACAAATATAATATTTTAAGTTTTTGTACAGTACATGTCATACACAAGGCAACTCGAAGTAACCCCCGCGGTGGGGTCCAGTCACAAGATGATTTCCATAAAAAGTTTTATCTGCAATTGAGTCCTAAGTAGCTCTGAAACAGTTCTTGTTTTGTGTTTTACAATTGTTATTTTTCTTGCTTTTTTCTTTATACCCGAGATGTTACTGCAGTACAGTGTTCATGGTTTTGTACTGGTCCAGACCGGAGCGGTTAGGATTTGTGGTCCGAACAAAGCGGATCAGCCAAAAATCCACTGGAGAAATGGTAATTAAGCATTCAGCGTTTTACTTTGGAGTAGGGCAGAGAAAAAGGTCTGACTCCGAACCAAGCGGCTCCATCTCTGCTGCTGTGACCTGAAGTGCTGTTGCATTTTATTATTACAATTGCTATTGGACACTAAAACGTGTCCTGCTTTTTGCTAAAGATGAAGGTGTTGGGAGGCTATAAACAAATAACACCCGCTTTAAAATGAATCGTTGTTAATATCCATAAGAGAAAAACCCGGAGGGGGAGAAAAGTCACATGTGCCAGAAGTGAGGCCGATGGTACGGTGGGAACATCTGAGAGGGCAGCAGAAAACCGTGAGAGCGACCGCAAGAAATGCTCTCCACCTCTGCTAAGGGGTGAGCCCGCTAAGCTTTTCACTTGAACCCATCTTAAGGCTCGTACATACCACACACATAGCAGAGTGACGCGAGCCTCTCCTCGGCACACTGGGCAGAGCACGCTGCTGATGCTCTCCCTGTGTAGTCTATGGAGAAGTGGAGAACAGAGTACAGGCCAGAGAACAAATAAATGCTTTACATTTTATGCAGGATGATCCTGGGAGCTATGCTGTCTGGGGCTTCATGCCCCTGGTAGGGTCTCCCATGGCAGGGTCTCCCATGGCAGACAGGTCTCAGGTGACGAGTCAGACAAAGAGCAGTCCAGAAGACACCATGGACAGCACAATTATGAAACCAGTGACGTCGCCCGGCATGGTGCAGCCGGGGCCCCACCCTGGAGCCAGGCCTGGGGTCGGGGCTCGTATGCGAGCGCCTGGTGGCCGGGCCTTAGCCCACGGGGCCCGGCCGAGCTCAGCCCGAATGGACGACGTGGGCAGTCCCTCCTGTGGGCCCACCACCCGCAGAGGGGTCCGTGGTGGCGAAACGGTGCAGAGAGGACTGGGCAGCGGTCGAAGGCGGAGACCTCGGCGACCCAGTCCGCACACACAACAGCTGGCTCTTGGGACGTGGAACGTCACCTCACTGGGGGGGAAGGAGCCCGAGCTTGTGGGGGAGGTTGAGCGATACCGACTAGAGATAGTCGGCCTCACCTCCACACACAGCTTGGGCGCTGGAACCCAACTCCTTGAGAGGGGTTGGACGCTCCACTTTTCTGGAGTTTCCCGCGGGGAGAGGCGGCGAGCTGGGGTGGCCATTCTCATTGCCCCCCATCTCAGCCGCCACGTGTTGGAGTTCTCCCCGGTGAATGAGAGGGTCGCGTCCCTCCGCCTCCGGGTGGGGGACAAGTCTCTCATTGTTGTGACGGCCTACGGGCCTAACAGCAGTGCAGAGTACCCGGCCTTCTTGGAGTCCTTGGGAGGGGTACTGGACGGTGCACCGCCCGGGGAATCCGTTATTCTCCTGGGGGACTTCAACGCCCATGTGGGAAACGCCAGTGACACTTGGAGAGGGGTGATCGGGAAGAGCGGCCCCCCTGATCTGAACCCGAGCGGTGTTCAGTTGTTGGACTTCTGTGCCAGTCACAGTTTGTCCATCACGAACACCATGTTCGAGCACAAGGGTGTCCACCAGTGCACGTGGCACCTGGACACCCTAGGCCGGAGGTCGATGATCGACTTTGTTGTCGTATCATCTGACCTTCGACCGCGTGTCTCGGACACTCGGGTAAAGAGAGGGGCGGAGCTGTCAACCGATCATCACCTGGTCGTGAGTTCGATCCGCTGGCAGGGGAAGAAGCCGGTCAGACCTGGCAGACCCAAGCGTATAGTGAGGGTCTGCTGGGAACGTCTCGCTGAGCCCCCTGTCAGACGGACTTTCAACTCACACCTCCGGGAGAGTTTCTCCCAGGTCCCGGCGGAGGAGGGGGACATGGAGTCCGAGTGGACCATGTTCTCTGCCTCAATCGCCGATGCGGCGGCTCGTAGCTGTGGTCGCAAGGTCTCTGGTGCTGGTCCCGGCGGCAACCCCCGAACCCGGTGGTGGACACCGGCAGTAAGGGATGCTGTCAGGCTGAAGAAGGAGTCCTATCGAGCCATGATGGTTCGGGGGACTCCTGAGGCAGCTGTCAGGCTGAAGAAGGAGTCCTATCGAGCCATGATGGTTCGGGGGACTCCTGAGGCAGCTGTCCAGTACCGGCAGGCCAAGCGTGCCGCGGCCCGGGCTGTTGCAGAGGCAAAAACCCGGGACTGGGAGGAGTTCGGAGAGTCCATGGAGCATGACTATCGGTCGGCCTCGAAGAGATTCTGGCAAACCATCCGGCGCCTCAGGAGGGGGAAGCAGTTCTTTGCCAGCACCATGTACGGTGCGGGTGGGGAGCTGCTGACCTCGACTGGGGATATTGTCGGGCGGTGGAAGGAATACTTTGAGGTTCTCCTCAATCCCCCCGTCACGTCCTCTGTTACAGAGGCAGAGGCTGAGGATGTTGGGGCGGATACATCCATCTCCCTGGCTGAGGTCACCAAGGTGGTTGGTAGCCTCCATGGTGGCAAGGCTCCGGGTGTGGATGAGATCCGCCCTGATTATCTAAAGTCTCTGGATGTTGTAGGACTGTCTTGGCTGACACATCTCTGCCACATCGCGTGGCGATCGGGGGCAGTGCCAATGGAGTGGCAGACCGGGGTGGTGGTCCCTCTCTACAAGAAGGGGGACCGGAGGGTGTGTTCCAATTATCGTGGGATCACACTCCTCAGCCTCCCCGGTAAGGTCTACTCCAAGGTACTGGAGAGGAGGCTACGGCCGATGGTCGAATCTCGGATCCAGGAGGGGCAGTGTGGTTTTCGTCCGGGTCGCGGAACACTGGACCAGCTCTATACTCTCCATCGGATACTCGAGGGTTCATGGGAGTTCGCCCAACCTGTCCACATGTGCTTTGTGGATTTGGAGAAGGCGTTCGACTGTGTTCCCCGGGGTGTCCTTTGGGGGGTTCTCCGGGAGTACGGGGTCGGGGGTCCTCTGTTGAGGGCCATCCGATCCCTGTATGACCGGAGCCAGAGCTGTGTTCGCATTGCTCCCGGTGAATGTTGGCCTCCGACAGGGCTGCCCTTTGTCACCGGTTCTGTTCACTGTATTTATGGACAGAATATCTAGGCGCAGCCAGGGGTCGGAGGGGGTCCGGTTCGGAGACCACAGGATTTCATCTCTGCTGTTTGCGGACGATGTTGTCCTGTTGGCTCCAACGAACCAGGACCTGCAGCATGCACTGGAGCGGTTTGCAGCCGAGTGTGAAGCGGTTGGGATGAGAATCAGCACCTCCAAATCCGAGGCCATGGTGCTCGACCGGAAAAAGGTGCCTTGCCCTCTGCAGGTGGGTGGAGAGGTCCTTCCTCAAGTGGAGGAGTTCAAGTATCTCGGGGTCTTGTTCACGAGTGAGGGAAGGATGGAGCGTGAGATTGACAGGCGGATCGGTGCAGCATGCGCAGTGATGCGGTCGCTGTATCGGACCGTTGTGATAAAGAGGGAGCTGAGCCGAAAGGCAAAGCTCTCGATTTATCGGTCAATCTTCGTTCCCTCCCTCACCTATGGTCATGAGCTTTGGGTAATGACCGAAAGAACGAGATCGCGGATACAAGCGGTCGAAATGAGCTTCCTCCGCAGAGTGGCTGGGCGCTCCCTTAGAGATAGGGTGAGGAGCTCAGTCACACGGGAGGAGCTCGGAGTAGAGCCGCTGCTTCTCCACGTCGAGAGGAACCAGTTGAGGTGGCTCGGGCATCTGTTCCGGATGCCTCCTGGAAGCCTCCCTGGGGAGGTGTTCCGGGCACGTCCCACCGGGAGGAGGCCCCGCGGAAGGCCTAGGACACGCTGGAGAGACTATGTCTCTCAGCTGGCCTGGGAACGCCTTGGGGTCCCCCCGGACGAGCTGGAGGAAGTGTGTGTGGATAGGGAAGTCTGGGCGTCTCTGCTTAGACTGCTGCCCCCGCGACCCGGCAACGGATAAAGCGGAAGAAAATGGATGGATGGATGGCATTTTATGCAACGGGAAGAGCTGTTGAGGTGGGGTCCAGGGGGTGTGGGGGTCACGGGGCAGCAGCGCATTTATTATGGGGGTCGCGGTCCAAAAACTTTGGAAACCCCTGGCCTAGAGCTACTAGGCAAAAACCAAAAATCTTGCACTCAATAAATCTGCAAAACAGCGAGGCCACGTGATCTGCATTAAACTGAGGGAGCACTTTTAGAGGACTGCCCACTGCACTTCCGCGTTTTAATGTACTGTTCACTGAAATGGAAGAAACAGCATCTCCTTTGCAGATAGAATAAAGAGCACACTCTCCTAACTCGGTTCATAACGTTCTGCACTGATAATGAACCATCAGCCGTTTAAGCATCAAATAGGTGGAGTTTTTATTGAATCAGACCAGCTCCTGATTTGGCCGCATTTGGTTCTCTTGTGTTGTATTAAAGGCACACCGCGGACTTTGTGACCTAAAGAGTTGACACATATGAGTTATTTTATATGAATACTTGGGCCAATATACAGCGCTTGACACTTGCAATGCTCCGAGCGGGGCTGCCCTCTTGAAATACCGCCCATGTAAGTTTCGAGCAGACGGACCGTCTGCCACCAGGTCACGTGACTTGGAAGAAAGACTTGCTTTACGGCTACAGGCGCTGATATACTCATGGAGCTAAGGCTTTTGCTACTCATTTTTCACCTGCTCGACTCCTGGTCATGGCTGAGGCAAGGAAAAATTTTAAACCTTCGGAGGAGGCTAAAAAGAGGAAACGCGAAAGGGATCGTGCTGTAAGCTGCATGTCTGTATGAGCGCTGCTCTTCACCTGGTTCCTGGATGTCATCGACTGCAAAGATGTCATTCCACGCAGCACGAGCTAGACGCAGAACTCCCTCATCCAGGATATAGAAGTCCATGTGTGGTAGATTACTAATGCAGCGGTCTGGAGGCTGACCACAGCAGAGTCTCTCAATATCTGTAGGCATGTCTCTACAGTTTGAACACACACACCAGTGCATGCTGTCTGAATACACACTCAAAAGACACCGGCTGACTGTTTGTTGACTTTTGCGACAGTGCTGAGTTGCTTGTGGCCACTAGGGGCGCTAAACGTGAAAGTTGCAGGTCTAGCGCCCCTAGTGGCCAAGAGTTACACGGTGTGCCTTTAAATATAGACTAAAAAGCAGATGTGAATTTTACTGACCCTGATTTGAACTGTCTCTTTCCTAAGCAAAAAGACCTGGTCTCCGCTTCTTCCTTAGTAGTCCAAAAGTGCAGAATATGAGTTAATGATAGTCAATCTGGGGGGGCCAAGATCTGCATTCCTAGATTTTGCTAATCTTTTCAGTTGTTTGGAGAAGGAGATGGACCCAGAATCTGGAGGGACAGCCTTGAGAGTCTCCTGACTTATCTCAAGGAAGTAATATTTCTATAGAATTAGGGAGGGGTAGTGTGTGAATGATTTCTGTTTAGGTCTGGCGAGACGGAGGAAAGGCCGGACCCTGGACCGGAAGCTGCCTGATACGACACGCCCCCTTCTTCCTGGACATCTGCTGATATGCTCTGGCTTGAGGCGGGGG